TCTGTTAGTGGCGTGGTCCTGTTAGCAGCATGGTTCTGTTAGCAGTGAGGTTCTGTTAGCAGTGAAGTTATTTTAGCAATATGGTTCTGTTAGCTGTGTGGTTCTGTTAGCAGCATGATGATAATAACAACAACCGCGGCAACGTACGATGACTGCCCTCCAGAACCGGGTCTGGCAGACATAGAACATCCTAGATTTTCCCTATGGAACCGAACTGTTCTGTAGAGTTGGGTCTGTGCAGACAGATGGAGGATCATGGAGACGGCCGCCATGACAGGCCAGAGCCTGAGGCTGGAAGGGGACTGGGAACTGAACCACGATGGCAGAATCGACACAGAAAACTCCAAAAGTGTGTTGTGGTCCTACCCGTAGCGTGGGTGTACAGTGTACAGTGTAGCCACAAAAAAAAAAAGTTACAACAAAAACAACAGGAACAAAAAAAGAGCGTGTCAAAGTGAAGCTCTCATCAGTGCTGCCATACTGTGGCGCACGTGACATCACATATGTGTATAAAGTTTTGCTAAATTATCTTGAGCAGATCAGAAAGTATGAGCAGGACAAGAGACAGTTTACAGACAGATGAGGACTATACCATAATGTCTTTCAACAGGTTTATAAAAACAAACGTCTTTGTTGAAAAGACGTCTGACACATGTGTCAGTCCCCTTCTTCTCAGAGATTTGAAACGAGCAGCAGATCAGAGAGAGGACACGAGGCTCGGTGCGGACGAGGCACCAGGAAGTGAAGGAAAGGGTGGGATTAAAGAATAACAATAAAAAAAACAGCAGCAGAGGAAATCTGCTTCTTATCTGCACGGTTGCACCTACGCTAATCTGAAGCTCCTAAACTGAGGAATTTCTGCTTTTTCCCTCCACCTTTTTCAATGAAAAGTTTGACTTTAATATCAATTCATTAATATCAGTTAACCCTATTAGAATGAATAACATATAAATAAAATGATTCAAATATGGACTCTTAAAAATAAATAAATAAATAAAAATCAGCAATCAGTCATGCTTGTACAATCGATCAGCAAAAAAAAAAAACCCACTGAAAACAAGGCCCGTCGATCCATTTCCTGCTCCATCCTATCATCGCTCATGAACCATCCATGAACCATCCATCTTATTCGAGATCTTGTTGTTTCATATTTTCCTAACAGAGCACTTTGCTCTCAGACTGCAGGCTTACTTGCAGTTTCCAAAAGCAGAATGGGAGGAAGATCTTTCAGTTATCAGGCTCCTCTCTTGTGGAACCAACTTCCAGTTTCTGTCCATGAGGCTGACACCTTGTCCAGTTTGAAGACTGGGCTTAAGACTTTCCTTTTTGATAAATCCTATAGTTAGGGTTGGCTTGTTATTCTGCCATAGGCTTAGACTACTGGAGGACAAATTGACCTCATTTTCTTAAATAATTGTTCAAATTAAATAGTTTTCATATGATACTATTTCTATCTTAACACGTGATTCTTGACCTGCCATTGTGTATCTGTTCCTCCTTCCTGTCCTCTAGATGGCCACTTGTACTGAGCCTGCTTCTGCTAAAGGTTTCTTCCTCATGAGGGAGTTTCTCCTTTCCACGTCGCCTTCATGCTTGTTCAAGATGAAAGTCTGCGATGGAGTTAAACTCACAGCAGTCTGCTCCTCAGATCAATTGTGTTAACATTATTTTTATATATGAATGTTTCTGTTAACTTATTTTTATATATATGAATGTTTCTGTTAACTTATTATTATATATGAATGTTTCT